GCGTCTCCTAGTCGCTGTCGCAGTTGCTGTCGCTTTTGCAGTGGCCGTCGCTGCAGGGCTCCTAACTCTATTTATATATAAATAAATATCATTATTTAAAAATGCATTAATTGTTAATGCCAAAAGTTTTTCGTTGTTGGATTTTGTAATTTAATTTGCTGTTACACGTATTTTTCCTGCACGTTGTCAATGCCCTTAAAAAAAACCCTCGCTTGCACTTTGCTCGCATCCCACATCATATACATAGTCTGCATGTATATATGTGCGTATTTATGTGTGTATATATATATATGGTAAATTTGTAATATATGTATATGTATGTATATACGAAATAAGAGTCTTGAATCCCTCCAATTTTTGGCTTAAAATCAATTGTTCTGCTCCTCCTATCCTATCCTCAGCCTCAGCACATTCACAAAAAAATTCAAGTATTTCTATTCAATTTTTGTTATCCTTAAGTTTTTTTTTTTGTTTATTTTGTCCGATGGTTATTCTGCCACTTATGGGTTTCGTTTTTTGTTTTGTTTTGTTTTGTTTTTTTTTTTTTGTTTAATTTTAATTTTTATCAACATTTACTTGCACACACACCTATGAAAAAATTACTATAAGTTTAGATTTAAATTTTTGTTTTTTTCTTTAATTTTGTTAATATTGCTTTCCTTCTTCTGGTGTTCCTAAAGTATTTTTCTTTTATCGAAATCGAATTTTCAAGTTTCATTTTTATTTTTGGTTTTAGTATTTTTGTTTTGCATTTCGCTTATTTCCCTTACGATAATTTCCTAAAATTCTTTTAAGGCGCATTATTCAACTACAAAATGAAGAGTTAAAGGACTTTGGATTTTGGGTTAAATTAAGTAAGAAATCGACGGATGAGATTGGATGTGTTTGAATTTATGAGACGGATGCGATCGATAAACGAAAAAGTTCAACAAAAAAGGTTCATTGCAAAAAAACTTTATTAATAAATACTATCAAATAATAAATCCAAAAAAATTGATAATAATATTTTTCATACATGTAATGATAATAATAGAGTATAATAATTATAATTTATTAATCCATTCACATACTTAGCTCACAGCTGCTTGTTGTAGTTGTGGTTAAAAAAAAATCTTTATTCAAAGCTTACAAAAATGGAAAAACTAATAAAAACGAAATATACAGAGAGACGTTTATCTCCCATAAAGATTGCGGCATTTGTGATGTTTACAAGAGAATACAAAAAAAAAGAACGCATTAAATTTAGCGTGTAATGTTTAAATACGTATTTAAGTTGAAAAAAAGGAGGAATAACCTAAAAATGTGTTTACAAAATGTTGCATTTTTGTTGGTTGTTTTTTTTTGTGTGTGTTACAAAAGGCAGTGTTGTTGTTTGTTGGTTTGATGCATTTGTTTTTGCTTGTTGGCTAAAACTAATAAAAATATATATCGAATAGTACGAAAACCCAAAGAAAACTAAAGCTGAATCTTCAGGTCCACGTTTGACACAGACCCAAATAAAAATATTCATTGAAAATTTCACAAAATAATAAGATATTAGAATCCTAAGAGAACACTACAATATATATAATAGATAATAATAATTAAAACTATAACTATAACATTTGCTAGAGGCCCTGATCTTTGATGCTTTACATACTGACACACAATCGTCTCCACATCACAAAATGTGGTATGAGATGAGAATGTTCTCGTCTGTCTTTTCGCTCAAAATGTATTGTACACAGAAATAGTAGTTGTAAAATAGAGTTAGGCAGAGTTCAGAGTTCAAAACGGTGCAGTAAATCGGTTAAACTATCACAAAATATATATACACATGGATAAATTCACTACAATTGAACACTTGAGTGAGTTGGGCAGAACTGTGTGTTGTATGCTAAAGCAATTTGAAAAGTCAAGAGAAAGTATCCCAAGAGGATAATGAATACGCTGGCTACTCACTCGTCTACTCGTACAATTATATCCATAAATATTCAGTAGGCAGCTCCTCAAAAATGTATAAATTAGATTTAGTTAACATTTCGCTTTCAGCTTCTATGTATTCATACGTTTTGACAACTTCTGTCTAGACTCATTTCGTTTCGGCGATATACATTGTTATGTATGTATGGATGTGTGTGGGTAAAGGTGTGTCAGGTGTGTGTGTGTGTGTGTGTGTGTGTGTGTGTGTGTGTGTGTGTGTGTGTGTGTGTGTGTGTGGAGGGAGGGGGCGTTGTGTGGGCTGTTTATCGGTGTAATTAGTTGCGGTTTGTTTTTGTTTTTCTTGTTTGTTTCTTTAATATTTATTTAAATTATGAGGTACTTGAAACTTTTTGGCACAGTGAAAGTTTTCATTTACTTTACTTCTACCACTTTACTTTGATTTGCTCTCATATTTTGTTAATGTTTTTGTTTTTGTTTTTGTTTTCCTCCAGCATTCGCATTCTCATTCTCATCTATTTTTTTGGTACGGCAAACATTTTTCCTCTTAATTTGTTAGACATTTAGTTGATACACAAAAAAAAAAATTGCTGGAAATTGCTTGCTAACATATGCATCTTTTGCATACACTAGTTATTACCTATTTAAGGGTTTCTGGTTTATTCTTGTTTTTATTTTTTCATTTACAATTTAATTCGATGTTCTTGGTTCAAAGTTCTTCTTAGGTTTCCATTGTCTCGTGTGGGCTTTATGTGTGTGTCTGTGGGTGTTTCTTTTTTGTATCTTTGCTTTACTTCGTCGATTCGAAAAAAAGAAACAAATTATAATCAATTAAGCGAATATCTTGGGTGTCGTATTGGGGTTTTTGGGTATGGGTGCTGGGTGCTGGGTGCTGGGGGTTGGTGTTGCTTTTTTGTTTTATTGTTTCATTGCACATTTCGTTACTGTCCGTTTGTCTATTGTTTGCCATGTCTGTATAATCTATGTATTTGTTATCTATTTCTATGTATGTTTTTTATGCCTGTTCAGCTTGTTGGGTTTCTTTATCCTCTTCCTTTACTTCAGTTAAAACTTCAATGTTGTTTTGTTGTAATCACAGTTAGTTTTGTGTTGTTGTAGTTGTAGTTTCTATTGTTAATTGTTGCTATGTTTTTTTTGTTTTTCGTTTTAGTTTTTATAGTTTTTTGATTTGCTTTGCGTTGCGTTGCGTTGCGTTGCCGTTGCCACTGCCATTGCCATTGCCTCTGCTTTGTATATTGTATTTTGTATATTGTAAATTAAACTATTGACGGTGGTTGCACATGCACAGATGTATTGGTTTTTAAGTAAATCCTATTTGTATCTCCTAGCATTATAATATATTATAGCTCTAGCTCACAGCTAGAACATACGAATCGGTTCTGAAACTAAAAAACAGTTGCACAGTTTTAGTTTTTAGTGTTTAGCTTTAGGTTTCTGTCTCCCGTTTCCTGCCTCTGTTTTGGGGGGTTTTCACATATTTTGTTTTGATTCTTAGTTCCTGTGTGGTTCGCCTCTCTTGTCACTAATATTAACTAAAATTCAACTTGGTTTATTGTTTTCTATGGTAGGTAACAGTGTTTGCTCTCAGTTATTGCATTTTCATTTGCATTTCTCCTGCAGGTCAGTAAGGGACCTTGGCATTGCCTCATACTTTAGTTATTAGTTTCTGTTTCGCTTTTGTTTGTTTGTACAAATTGTTGCTAGTTTAGCTTCTCTTTTAAATCAATGTGTAAAATTATATATATTTTATCTATTGTGTATAGTATAAAACGGCAGATTTGTGGTACATATTCATTTCTATTCGTCCTCGTCATATATTCATATATATTGTATGGGTGTCTTTGGTGTTTGGTTTTGCATTCTGTTCTTCATGTTTCAATTACTATTTTGTGGGTATTGAGTTTCTGTCTCAAATGCAGAATGTCTCATCTGCACTTGATCTATCTATCGTTCGATAGCAACGAAAAACCTCAGACAAATTACAATTACAATATTATGGTGGGTAATCCTTACACACACACATGTAAGTATTTTTTATGCACTATAGAGAGATAGATTAGTTCAATATCATACAATATTTAGTGTCAATTATAATTGCCAAAATTGTATTTGCTTTCTTTTGTTTGTCTTGCTTTCCACCAATAAAAAAAAAAAAAAAATCTCCATACATAATTACTGTTAGAAAAAAAAAAAAATTCTTTTCCCTCTAATCGCCAAAGTAGAGAGAGAGTTTTGCTAATAATATAATTTATACATAAGTTTCTAAATGTTTACGCTCTTCCTGTAGTCTCTCTGTGTGTGTGTGTGTGTGTGTGTCGTGACTTCTACTGCTGGTTCCTTATCTGCGTAGGAGCCGCCTCCTACGCGCCTCATCTCAGCGCGGCGCATTGTGAATGTGGGTGGTGAGATGCTTCGATAGATAGTCCGCCCGGGCGAAGCACTTGCCGCACGACTCGCAGTGGTAGGGCCGCTCGCCCGTGTGTATGCGCAGGTGGCGCGTCAAATCCGACTTGCCACCAAATGCGCGGCCACAGAAAAGGCACACAAACGGGCGCTCGCCGGTGTGCTTGCGGACATGCAGCTTGAGGTTCTCCTTGGAGCGCACACACTTGCCGCAGAAGGGGCAAGCGAAGCGTGAGGTGGCCGGCCTACAGATACCAGCATTTCAGTTAGTGATCTACGGACTCGAAATGTCTCAAAGCTTACCGCTTGTCACGCTGTCGCTCGGCGGCATCGACGCGCAAAAAGTTCAGTATCGAAGCCTCCTGCGGATTGAGGCCCAAGAACTGCTCGTTCGGTATTCGCTCGGCGTTGATCAGCGATGTCAGTGAGCTGAGTGAACTGATGCCGCTGCCGGCGGATCCGGCAACATTTCCACTGGCCACGCCCACAGAATTTGAGCTGGAATTGGCCGCCTGAGCGGCGGCATTAGCCGCAGCAACGGCGGCAGCGGCCGCCGATGACGACGAGGAACCGGCAGCTGCAGCGGCCGCAGCATTGGCCGCCATTGGCAGTGAGACATGGTGACCCAGATGAGGTGGCAGCTGGCCCTGCTGCGACTGTTGCTGCTGCTGCTGCTGCTGCTGCTGCTGCTGGTGATGGTGGTGATGTTGGTGGTGGTGATGGTGGTGTGGGTAGGAGGGATCCGTTTCCAAGTGGTGCAGTCGCGACTGAAAGAGAGTTGAAAGGGGAAAGGTGATGCAAGGTCAGGTGGGGGCTGTCCAAGCTGTGATGATTCAGCGGACTTACCCGCTTGTTTGTACTATGAATGCCATCAGAGCTGCTGATGTTCGGCTCCGTGGCACTGGTGGAGGCCGAGGCCGAGGAGTTGTTGTCCTGATAGAGCATCGTGATACCCGCCGAGTCGATGGTGTTGTCCTGTTCATGCTCTTCGCTGCCGCCGCCGCCGCCGCCCCCGCCCAAGCCACTGCCAGCTTCTGGATGGGTCTCGTCTGAGCCCTCGCGCTTTACATTCACCCGCAGATCCTCGCCCTCATCCGCCAGCATCGGCTCCTGGGAGCTGGTCACCACATCCTGGTCCATTTGCGTGGACACGACGGGACCGCCCGATGCCGATGCCGATGCCGATGCGGGAGTCGATACCGACACAGAGAGGGAGCCACCGAGGCGGCCGACCACTCCGATGGTCTTCTTGCCGTGCAGTCGCTCGAGGGCGTGATTGAGGCGGTGCTTCTTGAAGCTCTTCAGGTAGCGGAACTGCATGCCGCAGACGTCGCAGGTGAAGAGCTTGTCGGCGGGCAGGCGGGCCCGGTGATTCTGCTCCTTGTGCTTGGCGTAGGCGCTGCGGTAGCGGTACGACTGGCCGCACTGCTCGCAGATGAAGGGCTTCTCCTCGCCGGGCCCCACGTGGGGGTGCTGCAGGGCGGCGTGCTGCTCGAGCAGCCACACATTGGGGAAGTGGGCGTTGCACACGACGCAGCGGGTCTCCTCCTCGATGGGCTCCGAGCCGCTAAACAGCGAGGAGCACGTATCCGAGGGGCTCTTCAGCATTTGGCTGAGCTGCTGATGCTGCGCCAGCAGCGAGGAGCTGGGCGGCGGCGTCGATGAGGTAGACGAGGAGGAGCTCTTCTCCTTGCAGCTGCTCGACGTGTCCGTGCAGCTGACCGGTGTGCCGGCACCCGACAGCAGCAGCTGTGTATACTGCCGCAGGCCGGTGGCATCGACAATGACTCCACCGCCGCCAGTGGCTGGGCCCACGCCGGGGGTGCTGCTGCTGCTGTTGCTGCTGATGCGTCGCCGCTGCAGCAGCTGCTCCAGCGACTCCTTGTAGAGCTGGGCGCTCCGCTCGCTGGGCAGCTCCACGATGGTCACCTCGTCGCTGTCCGCCGAGCTGCGCTTGCAGCTGTCATCGCCACCGCTGCCCGACTCAAGGGAGATGCAGGCCATGGAGCTGGTGGAGCTGGTGGCCATCTGCTGTGGCGACGGCGACGACTTGGCCGCCTTCGATTGCTGCTGCTGGTAGAAGGCTGTCGGTGTTGGGTAACGCATGTTGAAGGCTGCCGCCACTCCAGTGGAGGTGGAGCTGGAGCTGGAGCTGGAGCCTGGAGCTACTGGCGCTCCAGCAGATCCTCCATGAGGTTGTTGCTGTTGTTGTTGTTTGTACTGTACATCGCTGGAACGGTTCGTTGTGGTCTGCTTGGCATACGATGGGCTCGTTGTCGTCGTCGTTGCCGTGGACGTGGCCGTCGTGGGTGACTGGCCGACCACCGGCTGATAGTCCTTGTTCAGCAGATCGCTTAAAGTAGTAAAACGGTGGGTGAAATCCTTGGGTGCTGCCAGCAAACCCCGAGTCCTGCACACACATAAATCATTAGCTAGAAACTCGGAAACCTGTTCCCACGGGGCAATATGTATGTATACTCACCTCAGTGCCTCTTCGGCCAGCCAGGTCTGGTGGTGGAGCAGGCTAAGTATTCTGGACGGATCGATGTCGAAGAGGCTCAGGCCCAGCGGCGTGAAGGGGAAGGCGAATGGCGTGGGGCAGCGACTGGAGGCCATGGCGCTCATCGGAGAGGTGAAGTTGCGCAGCAGCTGTTTGGATTCAGAAAAGGGAAGGGTTTTGGTACACAGATCATTAGTGTTGGTCAACGCTTGGCTAAAACAAAACAGTGTTGGGCAGGCTCTTCCTACCGCCTCGTTCTGTTCGTGGCCAGGGAGTGGGGTTCTTTTATTTCTTATTTGTTTTGATTTATTTTTTTGGGGGTTGGCTTGGGGACCGCTGTTTTTGGGCAGGCTTTTGGTCTAGCTAATAAATTGTAAGTGCATTTATTCTTTGTTGCTTCTAAACTGCTTATGGGGTATATTCCTCTAGCTGAATGCTTTATGAGTGTGTGTAAAGGTGTAGTTGTGTGTGTGTGTCTGTGTCTGTGTGTCTGGGAAGAGGGTCTATATCTTTTGTAGGGGCTACAGACACTTGTTGAAAAACACACATGCAAGGCTCTCTACACAACTAGAAGCAAAGCAAGCACACACTTAGGCACATCTATAAATAGATACATAGAGAGAAAAAAAAGCAACTATATATCTGGCAGATCTGGCAAATGAACATACGTAAAGAACGGAAATGAAAGGGGGAAGAGGTTGGGGTAAAAGTAAAGGGAGATGGGAAAGAAAGAAAGAAAACAGTGGGGGAAAAACAAGAAGCGTTAGGAGTAGTAGAAAGGCATACTTACGTGTCTGAAGTTGGGCTGACTGGGCACCAACTTTTGCTTGAGTACAGTTGGGCACAAAAGTTGTCTTAGAACAAAAAGAGGGTGGGTTTGGGGAGGGTTCACAAAATAGTCTAGAACACTTCTAGACTACTCTCAAAGACAGTACGTTTCACAACCATAAAGCAGAAAGACTTAACTGTGGCACTCGACATATCCAGCAAAATGTCTTAAGTTTCCGATACGCACTGTATATTTTGGTGTATGTACAGCGCGTTTCGAATCAATGAGATAGCTTTAGGGCAAACCAGACACATCACACATACCCGTTGGGGCTCATGGGGATAGTACGGTAGCCGTTATTCCATGGCTTTGGCCATGTCTTGTTTTGTTTGCAATTAAAACTCAAATGTTGGATAAAATATTTTTCAATATTTCTATTTATATAGAATTTTATTTCATCTTCTTTTTCATGTTTTTGTTTTGTTTTTTTTTTCCCCCCTTTTTCAGCTTCTTCAGCTACATCGTCTTTTTTCTTTCATTCTTTACTCTTTGTTTGTATTTGTATTTGTTCCGTGTGTGTGTGTGTGTGTGTGTGTGTGTGAGTGTGTGAGAGGGTCTCGTATGTTGTGTGTGTGTGTGTGGGTGTGTGGGTACAAATTTCGTTTTCATTCTCCCTCATTGCTTACTTCCGATCTCGACTACTAGAAATGTTTTGTTTATTTTTTAGTTTCTTTTTAGGCATAGACTATATAGCTAGCTATATATGACTGATCCTGCACTTGATCCTGCTGATCCTATATAGAGTTTTTAGTTATATATTTTTCTTTTCTTTTCTTTTCTTTTGTTTTTCCTTTCATGTTTGTCTTCTTCCCTTTATGTTGCTTGCTGTCTTGATTCCCTCTCGTTAGCCTTACTTTTCTTCATTAATTTTTCCTTTCCTGTTATTCGGGGGGGATTTTGTAGGAGGGTTAGGGAATTCAAAGGGGATGTGGGATCATCTCTGCTCGGTAGGCGGACTGCACTGACTTTGGTGTGTGTTTTCTGGGGGAATCAGTTGAGAATCTTTCTGTCTTTCCATTCTTTTCCTTGTGTGTGTTTTATTTCTCTTTGTTTGTTTGTTATAAACTATGATATGCCTTGCTTGCTTAAATAATTTTTCATCTTAATTCTTCTTGTTGCTTCACTCATTTTATATTTTGCTTTTTCTTTTGTAATAGTTTTTATATAAATTTTTTGTGTGGTTTTTTGTTTTTGCCTAAAATATGTTTGCTCGAGTCTGTGGTTTGTTCGACTGTGGGTGTTGTGTGTTTGTGTGTGTTGTGTGTGTGTGTGTGTGTGTGTGTGTAAGTAATTGAATTCTAAAATATTCATCTTGATTGATTCTATATGTGGGTTTCTTTATCTCTTTCTTGTGTTTTCTTTTCTTTACTTGGTGCCTGATAAGCTGCTCTCCTTAGTTCTTGTATAAGTATTTTAAGTGGTTCGTTATTCAGCATTGGGACAACTCCAAAAACGAGTTGAATCGAAACGAAACGAAACGAATCGAGTTGAGTTCGAGTTTGAGTTTGAGTTTGAGAGCTCTCTCTTAAGTAATTTATTATTTTGCTCAGTGCTTTTGGTTTTTCTTAAATCTTTTTTAAATTCTCATTCCAACTACGAAAAAAATATATATAGAGTTAGCATAATATTTTTAACCTTCCGTTTTTCACTTTTTGTTGTTGTTGTTTTGTTTTAATAATATTTCCCATACATTGTATATCTGTTGAATTCCCGTCAAGCTCTCTTGCATTATAGAGTAGTGCGTGAGTGTGTGTGTGTGTGTATGTGTGTGTGGTTTGCGAACCAGTTCCAGTTCCAGCATGACTGTAAGTGTGTGTTGTGGAATGTACATGAGAATGAATGAATGAATGAATGAACGAAATGATCATCAAATATATTTATTTATATATTTTGTTTATTTGTCTTTTTTGTTGGTTTCTTTCATTGTTTTGTTTAGGTATTTCTTTTATTAGCCACAAAATATCAAAATCTTATTTCGACTGTAGTCGATAATAATCATAATAATAATAAAAAAAATAAATGAAAACTAAAGTTTATCGATTGGAACTTAAATTGCCGTTTATAGTATTTTATATATTTCTATTTAATCTTGAATTAATTTAAATAATTAATTGTATTAATATACTTCGCACTCTCTCGCTCGCTCAATAAATAATAGTGGAAATCGTTCAACTTAGTCTACGAATGAATGAAAAATGTATAATTGAAGCCTGAATCTGAAGCTGAACTGAAACGAAAACGGAAACCAAATACGAGTATGCGCAATTCCGAGGATAAAACTAAAAACTAACGATAACTTGTCGTTCGATGTCTGCCCTATACTCGTGTTTGATCTATTTTCAAGATTTAGATTTAGTTAGTTAGTTGCTCTTGCTGCTGCTGCTCTTAGTGAAGGCTCTCTTTGCGGAATGCCTTAAATTAATTATTGTATAACTTTCTTTCTTCTCTTTTTTTTTGTGTGATTTTTGTGTTTTTTTTTTGTTGTTTTGCTTTGTTTTGTTTTGTGTTGTGTTTACAGTTAGTTAAATATAAATTATTTATGTATTCTTGTATGTCTATATTGTAGGAACATATTGACGTAATCATAACGTATTGCAGCTATTTGTTCTTCTTCTTGTTCTGGTTCTGGTTCGTGATCTTGATCTGGTTCTTCTGCTTTTTCTTTACCACCACTCATCGGTTTCGGATTTATGGTCTCTCATATTGTTATACGTATCTATATATTGTTTTTCTTTTCTCTAAACCGCCTCTTTTTAGGCAGAAAACAGCTCTTAATCTTTTCTGGGTCTCATCAAATATCTTGGAATGCTTTCAATGTTCAATCTATGTATCTATGTTTTCCTAGAGCTGCTTTCTATTGGTTTTATATTGATTTAGGTTTCAAAACTTAAATAAAATAGTTAAAAAAATAAGTGTCTACAAACAAACAAATAATAATTGTTATACAAAATATTTATGTTAAATTATGTATGTGAATGAGCCTCAATAGGGAACTTAAAAAATTTTCTCAACCGTCGTTTACTAAAACTATTATTTTGCTATTCATTTGCTCTCATTTGTCAGCTGTTTCGTGTATGTGTGTGTGTGTGTGTGTGTGGGTGTGGTTGGATTATATATTTTATATATAATTAATTCGCGAATGCCCCCTTGCATTTATTGAATTTGCAATTCAAAGTCAGTTTAAACAAAAACAGCTACTGCTTTCGGAAAGTCTTTGTTTTGCTTGTGTGGGGTCTGGTCTGGTCTGTCGCTGTGTAAAGTATTTATTGTTTTCAAAATGATTTTGGAGGAAGGCTAAAAATGTCTATCTTAATTTTTTGCGCTTAATTCGAAACGTTTGCTTTTTTCTGCTGCTCTTTGCGTTTTGGGGTTCTTCTTTGAAATGCATTAAATATGCTTTAGCTTTTAATTGTGAAAATTCTTTTATATTTTTTCTGTTTTCTTTTTTCTTTCGCTAAAAACTAATTGTATTTCTTTTTATTACTGTGATACATTTTTCCGTGTGTCTGTGTGTGTGTATGTTTGTCTCTATGAGTGGGTTTTTGTTTCATTTTAGAGGGCTCTCCCTTCTACCCTTCTGTCTTTCCGCTTTCTCTTCTTTCTCTCTATTCGACTTTTTTTGGGATATGCAAAACTACATTGTTGTTGTTTCTACTTTGTTTGTTGTTTGATTTGGTTGTTTGTGTGTGTGTGTGTGTGTGTGTAGTATTACTATCTGCCTAAAACTGTTTCTTCTGCAGTTGTCTGCTAGTATTTTGTCCTGTCTTTAATTCGCCAGAACTTAATTACTTTACATGCCATAAGTATGTATTAATGTGAGTGAGAGTCTGTGTGTATAACATATACTAATGTATATATATATATAATAGTTGTGTATGTATATTTAGTTATATATATATATATGTATATATAGATCTCAATGCCTCCCATTGCTCTCGCTAAAAAAATAACTATCAAAAAAACTGCAATTTCCGTTTTTTTCTCCTCTCTCATTGCCTTTTCTTTTTCCTTCTTTTTTTTTAGTTTTTCCTCTCTGCGTTTTTATAAAATATTACTTTAGTATGTATAATGTATAGTTGTATTGTATATATATAATTTTTTTTAGTTTTTCTTGCTGTTTATTTTATTTTTATTTTGGTTTTCTTTTTTAAGGGGAGTAGGCACTACAGTGTTGTTTTTTTTTAATCTTTTTTTCTTTTACTTTTCTTACGTTTCATGGTTTTTTTTTTGTTTTAGGTTTTTTCCTTTTGTTGCTAGCATTTTACCAAAAAAATTGTTCATCTGCTGCCTGTTTCGAAACAGATACATACATAATATATT